TGCCCCTACATTAAGATGGTGCAAAAAATATGCATTATTTTACATTTCTGAACAAAAATAAAATTCACAGTTGATTCTTCTTTCTTTAAATAGACTTGTCATTTGACATATATGAGGGTCAGATCACTGCATTACTAGGCCACAGTGGAACAGGAAAGAGTACACTGATGAATATTCTTTGTGGACTCTGCCCACCTTCAGATGGTAAGAGGGTCTTTTTGACTGAAAATGAAATCTCTTACTTTGTTAGTGTTTTTAATACAACTGACACAATATAATTGTTTATCTTTTAAATGTATACTGAATGTTTTTTGTCATTGATTTCAGACCAACATTTTCTTGATAGTTTTCCTGTAAAATTTAAAATGATTTTATCATGTTTAAGGAAGAAAATCGAATTTTGTATAATTTTTGTCATATATCGCATAAAACTGTGTGTGCTCATCTTCAAAAAAGATACAACAATTACTAATTTGAAAATAAATGAAAACAATAAATTATCTCAAGTTGAGAAAATAGAGGTTTTTACTTACATAGCAATGTGTCAAAGAGAAAAGAATGGTAAATGTGAACACCAACGCCTAACAGAATTTTAAGAGCACCACCTTAAAAGTATAATTTTGATCTGTGGTTTTTCTGTAGGTTAGAATTCTAAATGGTAGATCCACACCTCTACAAGATCACAAATGGAGTGACAGTACAATAAATATTGTCATTTTTAAATGATTTAACTTATGAGTATTAGATTGGAATCTCAGTTTTTTTAATGCAATGTTATCTTTAAAATGAGTTTGATTTTATTGATGGAATAATTATATCTTATACTTAAATAGTTTTACAATGTTTGTTAGGTCTTTCCACATGTGGTCACATTGATTTAACAGGTGACTATGAGTCGGAATGGATGAGTATTGGATTGGAATCTCAGTTTTTTTAATGCAATGTTATCTTTAAAATGAGTTTGATTTTATTGATGGAATAATCATATCTTATACTTAAATAGTTTTACAGTGTTTGTTAGGTCTTTCCACATGTGGTCCCATTGATTTAACAGGTGACTATGAGTCGGAATGGACTTGTTGGCAGTGATCTTTAAGTGGGATGTATAGTCACGTGCCATATGACGTTCCGTTGGGCAAAGTCTGACCACATATACACCCATGGTCGCATTAGGCAGAAACTTGGCTGGAGAACAGGAGGTAGCAAACACGACAGTTTTTCTCATGCAACAGCTGCATCTCTGTCTCTTGTATACAAAATGATTCCACTGTCAGGTGTATAATGGTATAGTACACATATAACCTGTATTCACAGAGTAAGTGCTCTGAAGTTCTTTGGTACTGGCTTATGTATGTACTATTATACTGTACTTTCTATCTATAAAAGTTGACTATATAAAGAGTTCACCATGTTATGGTGTATGTTTCAATTAATAGCAGTGTCCAATCTCATTTATTGCGCATCTGGAGTATTATGATCGCCCTGTTTAATTTTTCTTTGGCAATGCTGCCATGTAGTACATCCTGTGCAGCAAATCCAATGCTGGCCATGGTGGCAGCAATAGGCAAGGGTGATGTATTTATTTGGAAGTGAAGCAAAGGATTATTATTAAATAACCCGAAAGTAGGACATTAGTGACTAGGATTGGTCATGATTTAGGCATGTCACACTAGACATTTAAGACAACCTCCAATCAAAGAAAAACGTTTCCTGGCTTTTAAAGAATTATGTCCACTGAGAGCTCCAAGGGCAGTGAACATGTGAGCAGGAGAAAGGACTAAAGACGAGGATCAAGGCCCAGAAACAAAAGTGAATTCCTCTAAGGCCTTTGATGATCACTCTTAAGGACCAAAGCTTGTTAGAGATGCTTAATGAAAAAGCAGGACAGGACTATGATAGGGTGTTTGGACAACATCCAAATCACACTGTCTTATTTCATGGAACATGTGACATTAAGCAATGCATGACTGTATGAATATTCAGTTTATAAAGGAGACAAACTGGTCATCAGATTGATTTTTCCATGACCGTGGAACTAGATGAGAAAACCTTTTTAGTTCCTTATTGTGTCTTCTCTCATAGTGCCTAGAAATGGAAGGGAGTCATTACTGAAAGTAAGAGAAAATAATGTACCAGTAGATAATTTTGCTTAATGGGAAGCTTCTAGTTCCTGCCTCTTTCCATTATATAATTAGACCTAGAAAGGAAGGAAAAGGAGATAGGGCATAGGGAAAGCAAAAACACCCAAGAGTATGGCCACGAGGGTGTGTTGTTCACATTTATGCTTGCTCTTGACTTAGGTATCTATTAGCAACCAAATAACTAAGTTACTAGGATAAGTTAAAGCATACACATTCTTTAATAATTGCTATATTTAATATAAATTTAAATATGTTTTGCTTTTAGGATCTGCATCTATATATGGACACAGAGTCTCAGAAATAGATGAAATGTTTGAAGCAAGAAAAATGATGGGCATTTGTCCACAATTAGATATACACTTTGATGTTTTGACAGTAGAAGAAAATTTATCAATTTTGGCTTCAATCAAAGGAATACCAGCTAACAATATAATACAAGAAGTAGGTTATTTATATAAAGTGCTTTCCTTTTTTTCCCAGTAGTTTTTGGACAAATTTTTCTTTTACTTAAAGCATTTTATTAAGACATAATCCAAACATCATACCATTCAATATCCAGTCTTATCAAGAAATGTTGTACAATTACTACCACAGTTAGTTTTAAAACATTAATCTAGTTACTGTCGTTCCATACTTACCTATCCTGGATTTCATACACCAGGAAACAAACAAACAAAACTACACAACAGCGAGTCAAGAAGACGATCAACAATAACAAAATATGACAGCAATAAACCCCAACTTGAGAAAAAAATGTATTAAAAACCAGATCAAGCTCAAAGTGTATCAAAAGGGAGATCAAATGACACGGTCTTAAAGATTGTTCATTTAGAATGCTTTACTTTTATCCCCTGAAAATGACTAACTTTTTGAAACATTGTGTAATAAAAATATCCTTGAAAAATATAAATATAAAACCAGCACTGACACAGTAACAAAATCATTATAAAGCATTAGGTGAAATTTAGAGTAAATGATTGAGTACCCATAAACTAGATCTTGTTTCTTCAAGGACTTTGAGAGGATCCTAGCCTCTCACAGTAGATCTCTGTTGCCTTCCTCCATTCATCCTTTTCGTTTCTCATTACCCTCCTTTCCCAACACAGCCTGGAGTATTTAAAAAAAACCAGATTCTTTCTTACCTTTTCCCAGCTTCAAGAAGCCTGTACTCTGTCAATTTAGTAGTAGATGTGAATATAATATGTCAAAGCTAAAATGTATACTAAACACTTTTAAAAGTTAACATTAAAATTGGTAAATTTGAAATCTAATATTGATCATTGCACAAATGGTGTAGTTAAAAAAATAACATTGTTCACACTTTATTTTTACAGGTGCAGAGAGTTTTATTGGATTTAGACATGCAGGCTTTCAAAGATAACCAAGCTAAAAAGTTAAGTGGTGGTCAGAAAAGAAAACTGTCCTTAGGAATTGCTATTCTTGGGAATCCTAAGGTAAATAAATGTTAGTTTCATTGACAATATAATTGAAATTGTGTTGAAAAGAAAAACAGGTTGTAGAAAGATACATATGATGCATTCATCGAAATTTTCAGCATGCAAAAATACAGCATATTACTGAGATAAAATCATTGCAATAGGTTTTTTTAAACTGAAGTCAAAAAGATACAGTATCTTTTTGATAATACTGATTGATGATACTGGTTATCTCTACGACAGGGAATGGAGAAGACAGACTTTAGTTATGTCTGTACTGTCTTACAGTCTGTCTGTCTGTACTGTCGTATTTAAGTTCTGAAGAAATTATGGCTGAAAAGTAACATATTGAGAAGCTGTAACTGTTCTAATTTGCTCTATTTTTTGTTTGAAAATAGTTCATAATAAATAAATAGTTCAGTTTGTCCCTGTATTGCTTTGATTTTTTTAAATCATTTTATTAGGGGCTCGCTCATATAAGTCTTAGGACAATCCATACGTACATCAATTGTGTAAAGCACGTTTGTACATTTGTTGCCCTCATCATTCTCAAAACATTTGCTCTCCACTTAAGCCCCTGGCATCAGCTCCTCATTTTCCCCCTCCCT